GACCACCAGTGTTTAATGCTAGTTATTTGCACAGATGACAGCTGGTTGTATTCAGTTAAGTGAGACCGTTGGGTCAGATTAAGAATTGATGCTGCACCACTGGAAAAAAAAACGATGAAAATTTGCACCAAAAAAAAGCCCCAAACAGAGTCACAAACACCAAAAATTAAAAGGTGTGACCAGTCAGCATCCACAACAAGCCAGCCTCAGTTGAGACACTGCTTTCCCTCTATGTTTTGGAGCATCGGAGCAGACAGCGGGTCTCCCCGGGTACAGAGATCAATATTGCTGTACAGTATCACCCCCAGAGGCTACACCTACAAAATCACTCTGCCATTTACCGTTGAGCACAATGAGGACCTTCTTCCACTGCGTGTTCCCTACTTTGGGAGTCTGGCAGAAGAGGATCTTGTGCTTGTCACACACAAAGATTCGGTCCAGGACAAACTTGCTGATGGGAGTGTGGGTGAGGTTCTTCAGCGTGCTGTTCCTGCACACAGCCGATACCAGCTCCAGTCGCTTCTGCGCCACTGTCTCCCAGTCGCCCCCTTCCACAGGGCCCTCAGGACCCTGCAAGAGAGACGAGTGTCTTCATCACCACCGGCTCAACACCCGCTGCAGTTACTGCTGTCAAGGAAGGTTTTTCACTAGTACTTATTCCGAGGCTAGGCTATATCCCTGCTCATTCATCAGTCTGGACTGAAATTTGGGATCTGCTCGCAACGATCTTCTCCGATCCCAGATGCTCATGTAAAAGATATTTCAGAAAATCATAATGCCTCTCGAACTGCAGATTGCCCAAACCGGCAATTATTATTATTAAATGCTAAAGCTGAGCTTTTTTTGGACCAAAACTGGATTTTCCTAAGCCTACAAGATCTTGGCATTTCATAAGACACAAAAGAGTCTCCTCCTTAAAAGGACACCATAGAGCTTTTTTAGAAAGGAGTGTGAAATGACAACCCAATCTGTCATTTGCTGTCCAAGAAAGCGCAGTTTGTCAGGCTGTCATGACTTGGTCTTAAGTGCGTCATCTTATCTGCCTGCAATAGAGACTCCATAACCCCCATAATGCAACCTGCAGTATCACCTTGCCTTCTGTTTCCTTCTACCATCATGAAACCATCTGTGTGTAGGCCATTTGTTTACTCATTCACGTATCCCCAGACACAAATAAAGACCAAATGAAACCCAATGCATTTAAGAACTCCCCTTCCTATTACAAATGGCTAAGGACAAACTATCTAGCTTTAACACAGTCGTAAGTTATCCACCCCCTGTAGCATTACACACCACTGCCCACAGAATGTCGTTTTGAAACGGAGGCAATGAGCGTTTAATTTTTAGAGGAGACATTTGCAGCCCCTACAGTTTTTACAGAACCACATCACTTCACATATGGTCACTGCCTGCAGTGAAGAGCAATAAAAGACAATTAACTTGACCAGCCACGAAAAGAGAACTTCAAAATGCGTCATTACAGGGAAGGAGTTCTTACATGTAGGAAAGACAGACGAAATCCAAGTTTAGAGCGATAATCTGGTGGATTATGTGCATCACCTGTGGATTTTGTCAAGGCACCTGAAGGACAATGAACTAAATCAACATAGATAACAGAAAGTCATGCCTGGACAACACGTTTCCGGCTCTATGAAGCAGGATTTAATCACATTCTTCATCCAATGTGGCGCACAACACATTCAGCTCATTCATTCACTATGGGAATTCAAAACTGAATGAAAAACCCCTCCCTTGTAGCAGGTGGACAATTCAAAGTTCAAGTCAAGTTCTCAACCAGGTTATTTCCCTAAAGACTGTCACAAACCTTCCCTTCATATTGTAGGCCCGAGTTACGAGAATGATATTAACGCAATTGAATATTAACGCAAGCCAAAAATCTGCTTGCGCACCACTAATTGGAAGGGTGAATGTGGGGGGAAAAAATTGCAATTGATACCGTATGTCAAATTCTGTCCCCATTAAAATACACTTTGGTAGAAGCAAATTTTTTCAAATTCTTATAACTTATTGTTTCCTCGCATGTAGACAAGTTTATAACATCAATTTTTATCCTGATAAAGAGAATATGCTTAATATGTATTGATAACTAAAAAGAGAAAACTATTAAATATTTCGTCTGTAAAGCCTTCGGCCAGTCACAGGCCACTGTTTTTAGAGCAGTTCTTACTCAAAGCAGAAAGAAAACCCCATGCATAAGACACAAAGCTAAAAACAAGCGATCGTGTCTTACACCATTGCTGATTTGACTGACAGTCTTGTGAGAAATGTATTTACAGTAAGAGACTGCAGTTCTGTTGGGATTAAACATTTATATTACTACACCATCTGGAAAACAAGTGCAATGCACACTGCAAACCACACTGAGGACTGATATAAAATAGAGACACCAAACAAGGAAGTTAAATATTTAAATAAAGAAGAAGAAGCACTTCTTCCACGCGAGGTGTGGGAGTGATCTGAATGCAAGCCCTCGAGAACTCAGCTCTTGCCCAGCTATTCTGAACACGTGAAGAGCCTGAACGAGAAGAATGCGCTGCGTTGGGATTTGCACACTTTTCACAGCCACTTCTAGACAGGATGGGAAAGAAACTGAAGGACGTTCGCCGACTGCCTGCTGGCAGAGAAGTGCAGTTCCCTGCCTATTGACGCCTTTGCGTTTGTTAAGCCGCTTCAGCTGATGACGTCATCTCATACAGCTTGCACTAGCGGCTGCTTTTATGCTCATTTTCTTAAGGAAATCCTATCACTGCTTCTGCACCACTGGAAGCAGAAGCAGTGATAGGAGAATTGTGTGTCCATCCAGTGAGGGCCTCACGGTGAAAGACAGGCTCTTACTTGATTTGGCTTTGTTCTCTTCCTCTCGGGCTCTTGCACTTGGGACTTGACATCTTTTGTGGCCGGCACAGTCCAACTTAATGATTCTGACTTACCCCCGTAGTCTGAAAAACAAGACCGCAGAAGTGTCAGGTCTCTCTGTTACTTGAAAAATATCAAGCAGCTTGGTGAAATACCCATCCATTTCTTTTGTGAATGCCTTTCAGGCCACGATAATCCCATCTATTAAAATCCACTACAAAACAAAATAAGACAGTTCCAAACTTTCTCATAGAAAATGTACAGAAACAGTGCCAAGTGCCTCTATCAGCGACACATTTTGTATGCAATATTCAGCCTGGTTATTTTACATAACTATATACCTCTCTCTAAACTGCAACTAGCAGGTTCCAATCCAGCAAAGCTTATCTATTGCCCTCTGGGTACAATGTTTTCATTATTTTGAATACTGCAGTTGTGATTACTGTATATCATTGAGCAGATTTTTGCAGGAATATCCCATTCAATAACGAGCACAAATAAATATGCACCTCAATACACACATCAGCTGGCGAACTGCACGGGCGAAATGCTCGTCAGGCTTTGAGAGAC